AGGAAGTTGAACAATTCTGATTTCCTGAGAATATGGGGAGACAGCAGCCTGCATGATGTACGCCATCTCAGGAAGGACATGTGTGGTCTGCAATACCAAGGTCTGCCTCAGTTCATCACTGCAAGCAATCGGGCTGAGTACCTGACAAAACTGCCACCTAGGCTCAGGATGGAGCTGGGGCAGCAGTGGTCTCCCAGAGAAGACAGGGTCTAGAAGCTGTCAATCTGATACTAGACAAGGGCTCCACCTCGGCTCTAGCACTCACTAGGAAAGGACAGAAAGGTGGCAGCCCTGTGTGGGTGGCTCATGCTGGTCATCTAACCAGCCCCTCCCATCTTCTCCCCACTCTAGCCGGCCTGACACTGCGTTCGTCTGGTTCCTGAACCCACTCAAATCTATCAAGTACCTCATTTGCACCCGGTACAAGTGGCTTATCATCAAGATTGTGCTGGCGCTGCTTGGGCTGCTCATGCTGGCCCTCTTCCTCTACAGCCTCCCAGGCTACATGGTCAAGAAGCTCCTAGGGGCATGAATCGTGCCCCACCCCAGCTCGCCCCAGCAACCCTCCAGGGGCTGCTGCCTTTTTGCCTTCCCTCACCCGGACTCTCTCCCATCTCCCTGAGGAGCCCTACCACGCCTGCCAGCCTTGAGCAAGACACCTGCTTGCTGGGCTTCCATCCCCACCCCACACCCAAACTGCTGCTTGCCTGATCTTGTCTCGGGCCTGCCTGGGGTTTGGAGCAAAGATGGCCTCCAAAACCAGATACCCTCTTGCCCCACCTTCTAAGGTACCAGGTTCCTCTGCCTAGCCCTAAGAGTGGTAGTTACCCGACCCTCCCTTGTGCTTTCTAAATCTTGTGTTAAGTCTTCATAGAAATGAACCAAGGAACACGGGGCAGTGTCCAGGGCTCAGATGAGTAGGAACACATGGAAAGTACCACAAATGCCAGCAGAGGCGACACACTTCTGTCCAGAGCATCCTGACAGAGGAGGCAGCGGTGGACAGCTGCTCCTGCGCATGTTCTCCTCTTGGCTCCGCCTTTTTCCCCCCACAGCCACTTGGCTGCTTATCCTTGGGCTTCCCATTACTTCCCAGGGCTGCCTCTGCCTAGGCCAGTGTGTGCCAGCTAGTACGCAATCTCCAAGAGTAAATAGGGTGTACTAGCCACCTTGAAGACTGCCCTGTCCTGCCTGCCGGCAGCCACACCCGAGTGTACACTTGAGTGCTGCTCTGCGAGTCTGCTGGCTGCTTTTCCTTTGTTGGGTGTGATTTTTTTTTCTCTCTCTCAATAAAATAAATCAAACTCGGAGACAGAAGTGGAGCAGGGAGGGATAGGTTTGGGGGGGGGATGGTAAAACTCTAGTGGATAACCTCTTATGAAGCAACATTTAAGGTAGGCCTCAGGCACAGGGCTGCCGGCCTCAGCTGCAAACCGAACCGCCTACGTCTACAGCTCAGAGGGCACACCATGACGGAGCCAAAGGCCCCAAAGCATGGAGAACTTCCTTCAGTTTGGGGGTGATGGGAAATTATACGACTCCAAAGCCCAAGCCTCCACCCATAATGACTAGCATTTTCCCAAAGACAGAAAGGGACCCTGGGGCTGGTCTCACCACATCTGAGCCCGGGGACAAAGCTGCGTAATACCACTTAGAGCAGGAGGACCCCTGTCCATGTAGAGATGGCCTCTTTCACTGCATTCAGCCTAAGCTTTCAAAGACTTTATTAGAACTTCGGGGAGTATCACTGCCCCATTTTGGCAGATACAGCTCAGAAAAACTCAGGGTGGGCCTGTCTTTCAATGACACTAGGTGTTGCAGCTCCTTCTCTATTTTGAGGGCATCCGGAAGCCCTGAGTCGGAGGGATCTGCAGTTCCGAATTTACCTGGAAATTAAAGGGTGAAGGTCATTTTCTCGCCCTCTGTGAGGGCTCACATTCGGATTCTCCCAGAGTCCCACTCCCTGCAGTCACTGCTTCTCCATAGCAGGGAGGCATCACGGTCCCTGGAGGATGCGTGTGGCCTGGGACCGGAGATCAGCCTGGAGCCCTATGTCCTCTGTGGCTGGACACGGGACTAGAGACTGTCACGACCATCTTGGCCTCAGCCTGACCCTGAAGCATCCCACCAGTGTGCAGCCAAGGCACAGGGACTTTTCCTTCCTCCTCTGGCCATTCCGTGGGAACAAGTTACAGTAATCACTGGAGGGGACACCTCTGACAGCACACGATCTGCTCCTCACTCACAGGGACCCTCAGTCATATCCTGAGAAGCTGGTCTGGCAGGAGGGGGGACCTCAGAACTGTAGGAGCCTCACCAAGTCTCCAAGCTTGCTTCTCTCTGTGAACCAGAGGGGAGTGTTTCTGCACAGCCCCCTGGCAGGTTGTTAGAGGATACAAAGGTGGGGAGGGGCCTGGGGCCTGGAAGCTGTTTCTGGATTTAGTATTGTTTTTAAAAAGAATAATTCTGGCCAGGTGTGGTGAAGAATGCCTTTGATCCCAGCACTCAGGAGGCAGAGGTAGATGAATCTCTATGAGTTTGAGGCTAGCCTGGTCTACATAGTGAGTTCCAGGATAGCCAGGGCTATGTAAAGAGATGCTGTCTCAAGGAAAAAAAAGGAAGAAAAGAAAAAAGGAAGAGAGAGAAATAAACCAACAAACAAGGATGGGTGTGAGCCAGTGAGGCTGTTCTGCAGGAAATGTGCTTGCCAAAAAGCCTGACATCCTGGTCCTATCTCTGGAACCCACATGGTGGAAGGAGAAGATTATCTCCCAAAAGCTGTCTTCATGTGTGATATGGCATGGGAGAACACACACACACACACACACACTCACACACGCGCACTTAAGAAAAATTAAGAATGACTCTACAGCTGGGCACTGAAGTGCATGCTTGTCACTCCGGTACTTGGGAGACTAAAAAATCAAGTCCATGGGTTCAAGGCCAGCTTGCGCTACAATGTGTAAGGTTCTCATGAGAGGGGAGGAGGGAGACACAGATGTAAGTCAGTTTGTAGAGCTCCTGCCCAACATGTACAAAAGCCCTAGGTTTGCTCTCCAGCAGCACATACACAGGGCGTGGTGGCTCATGCCTGTAATCCAAACTGTCCCAGGTGAAGGCAGAATATCAGAAGTGTAGGGTCATCCTTGGCTACGTATAGAGTGTGAGGCCAGCCTAGGCTACCTGACACATTAGCTCGAAGAATTAAAGTTAAAAAGCAACAGAGCGGTCAGAGCAGAGTGATCCCGAGGTCAGTCCTCCGGGCCTTGGCTGGACTGCCAGCAGTACCACGGCCTTGCCAGCAGGTGCCGCCTCCTGAGGTGTGGTTTCAGATCTTAGTTGGGTCCATGCCCCAGCACCCACCTTAGCCTGGAGATACTGCTGTAGCAGGGACTGCATCTCTGCATTCTGCTGCTCCAGAGAGTCATTCTCCATCAGCAGCTTGGCCCTCTGGGTCAGCACAAGGCTAGGGGTGGGACACAGGAAGCAGGTTAGGGAAAGGCTGGCTCGGTCTTCCATCCTCTACTGATTAGAAGCCAGGCCTTTGGTGTTTCTGCTCTGGCTGCGAGTAGAGGAAGACCTGAGACACTTCCCTTCCTCCCAGGCTAACAGGGACAGACAAGGAGAGTGGGAGCACCACCTGCCACCACCCACCCCCTCAGACTGTGTGAGCACAGGGGACACAACTATGCCTCTGGACAGGATTGCCCCTATAGACCACCCAGCTCCCTGTCCTTCCAAGCCCTGATGCTGACTAGTATTTCTCCAAGGCGTTGTACAGCGCATCCCAGAGGTTCTGCTTGGAGAACGGGATAACCGTAGCCAGGGACTCCCAGTACTCTGTGTCCTTCGAGTTATCTCGAGTTTCTTTCTTCAACTTCTGTACTGGCCGAGCCTCCCTGGAAGTTAAAAGCAGGGGTGCCTTTTTCTATGTGCCACACAGGCAATGCCAGTCACATTTGTGTGTATGTATGTGTGTATATCTATGTATATGTATTTATGTATGTGTCTGTGTATTTGTCTGTATATGTGTATAGATATGTGTGTATGCGTATATGCATGTGTGTATGGACATGTGCATGTGTATGTATGTGTATGTATGTGTATGCGTGCATGCATGTGTGCATGTGTATGTATGTATATGTGTGTATGTATGTATGTATGTGTATGCATGTGTGCATGTGTACATATGTGCACATGTATGTATATGTGTGTGTATGTATGTGTATGCATGTGTGCATATGTATGTGTGTATATGTATGTGTGTATATGTGTGTATATATGTGTGTATGCATGCGTGCATGTATGTGTATATATGTGTGTATATATGTATGTATGTGTATGCATGTGTGTATGCATGTGTGCATATGTATGTGTGCATACGTATGTGTATACATATGAGTATGTGTGTATGCATGCATGCATGTATGTATGTGTATATATGTGTATATGTGCATGTGTGTATGCACATGTGCATGTATATGTATGTGTATATATGTATGTATACATGTGTATGTGTGTGTATGTGTGCATGCATGTGTGCATGTGTATGTATGTGTATGCATGTGTGCATGTGTACATATGTGCATATGTATGTGTGTATATATGTGTGTGTATGAATGTGTATGCATGTGTGTATGCATGTGTGCACGTATATGTATGTGTATATATGTGTGTATACATGTGTGTATGTGTGTGTGTATGTATGTGTATGTATGTGGGTATGTACATGTGCATGAATGTGTATATGTGTATATGCATGTGTGTATGTGTATGTATGTGTGTATATATATGTGTGTATGTGTACAGCCATTTCTCCTCTACCTCGACATTGTGTCCCAGCCTCCCAGCACCCATGTCCCCAGCAAGCCCTCCATCACCCCTACACCACTGCACACTTAGGCTTCTTCAGCCCCATGACAAAGGCCTCCAGAATCTTGAGCACATCATTGGGGTGGATGAACTTGGGTGAAGACAGGTCCTCCTGCTCTCCCAACTCCTTGCCCTCGAGGCTTTCGTTGTCACCACCCTGCAGGTCCTGCTGCTCTGTGGACTCTTGATCTGATTTGGACACTGTGCTTCCCCTGTCCACCTGGGACATCAGACTCAGACGCTCCAGCGCTGACATCAGGCTTGTACGCTCCACGTTGCTTTGAATCGAGGTACTGGCCTGGAGAGAGGTACAGGTTTGACTGTGGTCTGATATACCCAAACACACAATGAAAACAAGAGAAGGAACCAGCAAAGTTCCTAAAAATCCTGTGGATGGATGCTGTGCTCACTGGTTGTGTGTCAACTTGACACAAACTAGAGTCATCGGAGATGGAGCCTAAGGTGAGGAATTGCTTCCATGAGATCCAGCTATAGGACAATTTCTCAATCAGTGATCAATAAGGGAGAGCCCTGCCTATTGTGGGTGGTGCCATCCCTAGGCTTGTGGTCCTGGGTTCTATAAGAAAGCAGATTGAACAAGTCATGAGGAACAAGCCAGTAAGCAGCACTCCTCCATGGCCTCTGCATCAGCTCCTGCCTCCAGGTTCCTGCCCTCTTTGAGTTCCTGTCCTGACTTCTTTCAGTGATGGACTACAGTGGGGAAGTGTAAGCTGAATAAACTCTTTTCTCTCCAACTTGCTTTTTGGTCATGGTGTTTCATCATAGCAATAGAAACCCTAACTAAGACAGACACATTTATATAATGACAGAAGGCAGATGAGTAAGGAAGGGAAGGGGCTCTGGAATGAGACCTGTGTTCCGTCTCTAAATCCAGTTCACAGGTGTTCACTGTACTGCTAGCCACAAGCTCCAAAGCTGTAAATACCCCTTTGGCTCACACATAATAGAGAATCAATCCTGGTAACATTTTCAAATTTAAATTGTCTTCCTCCTGTCCCGTTATGAGAGTACATCATGAATTATTAAATACATTCCTTCAGCATTGAAATCTGCAGTTTCCAGTCTTCTATTTCAAATAATGCTGCAATTTTAAAAACTATAATAGACATATAGTTTCCAATGCACTAAGCGGAGTACTCAGGGGTGTGCCTTAATCCCACCACTTCGGAAGGCAGAGGTAGGAGATTTAGAAGTTCAAGGTCATCCTTGGCTACACAGAGTTTGAGACTAGCCTGAGCTACATAAGACCCTGTCCCAAAAATCAAAGAGAGAGAGAGAGAGAGAGAGAGACAGAGACAGAGAGACAGAGAGACAGACAGAGACAGAGAGACAGACAGAGGGAGACAGAGAGAGAGAGAGACAGAGAGAGAGAGAGAGAGAGAGACAGAGAGAGAGACAGAGAGAGAGAGACAGAGAGAGACAGAGAGAGAAAGAGACAGAGTGACAGAGGGAGAGGGAAAAAGGAAGAGAAAGGAAGGAAGTCAACTGTGTTCTATCTATAGAACAAAATCCTAGGAGAGTTGTAAAGTGACTGACGCTGTCAAACTGTTCTCACTGAAGGGACGGCCATCACACGCCTGCCAGGTTATGAGTGGCCTGTGAGAGCATCAGTTCTGTGTGAGGAGACATTGAGTAGACATCCTCTATGCCAACCCGGCAGGCAGACAGCTGCTGTGCAGGCCTCACTTGTGCTCCGCTCTCTACAAGGAAGGCGGATCACACATAAAAGTCGCCTTTACTAGGCAGGGGGTGGTGATGCACACCTTTAATCCCAGCACTCAGAAGCTGTGGCGGGCAGATCTCTGGGCTGGAGGTCATCCTGGTCTACAGATGGAGTTCTGGGACAGCTAGAGCTGCACAGAGTAACTCTGTCTCGGAGGATGCAGGGGAGGAGGGAGGTTGCCTGTCCTACTCCAAGTATGGTGATTATGGCGATGCACACTTGTAACCCCCTGACTTAGGATGCTGAGGGAGAAAGACTGTAAGAGTTTGAGGACTACCCCACTCTTTTCTTTGCACTAATGGTCTTGTTTACTTATTAGCTTATGTGGGCTCTTTATATATTAAGGAAACTAATCCTTAAACTGATGTGAATTGAAAATACTCTTCCCTCAGACATCATGTATGCTTTAAGATCTTCCTGCCACCTCCTCCCATGTGCTGTGATTCTAGGCCTATATCACCACACACTGTTTATATAGTGCTGTGACTCAAACCCAGGACCTCACGCATGCTAAACAAGTACCTTCCAGATAAGCTATATCCCAGCTCTTGTCCTACCCTCCTCTCCCCCTAACTAACAATACTAAAAACATTTTTATTCTTGATTCTTAAATTAAAAACTTAAGACTTTGAATGTGACTCTCCACAAAGTTGCTCTTTGCCTCTCCTTCTGAAGTCATTTACAACATAATATTCATGGTGTTACAAACGAGTCCTGCTCCATAGGAAAGTGTGATGAATCGGAATACGCAGAATGCAGTGCATTCACGTTTTGTGGTGGTTAAAGCCTGGTTTTGAGGAAAGCCAGGGAAAGGGGCCCTTGGACCTCAATACAGAACAACATCCCACCCCTCTCACAGTCTTTCTGCCCTTTGCAAATAGAAAAAAAATAATAACTAAGCCAATGTTATTAGCCATTCCTGGCATAGGCACCATCAACTCCCCCAGGTCCAGGGTCAGTGCTTAACTCCAGCACATTGCCCTAACAGCTACAAGAGAAGAAGATATGGTGGAGTGAGGTGCCAGCCACATCAGAACACAGGGCCTGTGTCATAGACAGAGGCAGAGGGAAAAGAGAGGCAAGATCCCATGGAGAAGCAAAACTTGTAGAGAAATGAAATGAAAGGAAATGCTCTCCGCAGCTGCCCATCTCACCTGGGCAGAGGATAAACGGTGGGCTCGGTATCGAAGGAAGAAGTTCACCAGCTTGTACAAGTCATCCTCGGTTTCAATTGCCAGAGCCTGAGGAGAAAACAAGATGGCCACTCAGACGCCTCATCAAACCATCAAACAGGCCCTGAACTCAGGCTGCTCATAGACTCTCAGCTCCTCTGAACCAGAGATTCAGATGCTTCCTCTTAGCATCCTTGGTTGCTGAATAAAGAGTCTAGGAAGCTGCAGTGAACTGGAACCATCAGAACATGAACAACACCCAGAGTCAGGAGCGCCCCACACAGAGCATGACACCACAGCCAATCTGAAGTTGAAGGCAGGCAGTGCTAGTGAGCCCAGAGAGGCCTGGGAGACTGCTACAGTCTTGGGGTTAAGGTAATGTTGAGAAAACAGGTTCTGCCCCACCCCTACCCCATGTCCACTCTGCCCAGTGGGACTCACAGAGAAGATGGCGTCCAACCTCAGCAGATAGCATTCACTCTTCTCCAGGGGGAGGAGCAGACTCAGTAGTTTGCTCTCTATGAGGAAACCCTGAGGAGAAAAGAAAGATGGTGTCCCCAGTCAGAGCCAGGTTTCAGGAACAAGTCATGGGGTCTGCAACCATCCATAATATGACTCTCCAGGGACAATGCCACAGAACACAATCTCTAACAGTGAACCTTTGAGCTGTGGGGTCCTCAATGAAGGCCATCTTGAAAGACAGTCAAAGGCAGTCTCAGGAAGCAAGACCAAAGACAGAGTTAGATCCTATTTTGGGTTTAGACTGCCCTCTACCTCACTCACAAGCCACTGGGAAAACAACTCAATCTTCACAGTACTTTAAACCAGACTGAGCCTCGGTGCCTGCTGCACCCATATTCCTCTCCCCAAATAGTTACAGAGCCCAGAAGCTCTGAAGAGGGGAGAGAAAGTGATGGAGACGTGAACCACATCAGGACGCATGCGTGTGACACAGATTGGGGTGGGGTAAAGAGAAGCCAAGTGCCACATTGAGCCGAGGAACTCGAGAAGGGCTCCAAGGACAGGTGGTCATGCTGTCAGGCTGCATAGGACACAGAGGACCTGCCAGCTGATTCCTTCAGCAGGAGTTGCTTCAGAAACAACAAAGAAAACTTCCTTGACTGTCCCGGGACCACTGGGGCTGAGCTGTTTTAGTTCCTTCTACCACCTTGGAATACTGGCATCTAAGAAACACCTACAAGATGTTGCAGTAACCCAGCTCCAGCTGAGCCAGCTCCAACACACCCTTGCTCTAAGCCTGATTCTAGTTGCCAAGACCATGGAAGTATCCTACACTTGATGCAGCAGGAGAAAGGCCACAAGAGTGGCAAACCAAGCAGATGGATTAGTGGCAGGCAAGGCACTACTGTCAACCCCCACTGCTCTCAGAAGGAGCTGGAGATTCTTCCAGAATGAACCTCACCGCCCCATTGCTGACCGGGCCTCTGCAAACACTGCCTTGCAAGCTCACTCCCCAGCCCCCTCTCTGGGCAGGCCTGGCTCCAGGCCACACAGCGAGGCCTTACCGACTCATCACACAGGAGCATGAGGATCTTTTTGGTGGTTTTTGCTGAAACTTGATTGGGCAGATCCATGTAAGACTCGTCTTCTGACATGGCTGCCTCTGTCGCCT